ACGAACTCGAACTACCTAGTAAACTTTTGATACTGTCGCGTCTAAATGGAACGAAACAGGAAAGATAGCGCTGAACGAGTGTTTAAAGATTTACAAGATCCAGTTTACGGACAAAGTAGTCAACACGAATCGAGAGGGAGAGGGAGAGGGAGAGAAAGCGAAAAGCACACTGAGAAAAAAGAATATCGTTCCTTTCTCTCGAGGTTCTATTCCAAAGGTGTTGGTATAGTTGTCGAGGTGTGTGTATGAACTTTCCCAAGAATGAGAGATTAGGGAGAGGAAGAGAGAGAAAAAGTGGTGAAAGAGGAGCAGCGAAGGATTTTTAGAGCACTATCAGTACTAGGTAATTAACTTAATAATAAGGAAATTCGGTCTACGGTTCAATGAGAAAATCAATTTTGGCACTAAAAACAGGGTGACAGTTATTTAATTCTTGAGATGGGAGAGAGCGGGGGGGGGGAAAGGTTGTTTTCGTCAGTAAGATATGAATTGGGTGGATCTACACAATAGCTAAATAGAGTACTGGCTCGAGTCTGGTCCGGTATGGGAGTCTGGGATGCCAGTCCAGTCTGGGATGCCAGTCCAGTCTGTCGTGCACCAGCAGAAATATCCATCTCGCTTTGGGGGGCAAGAGAGTCAAGAGACAGACAAATGATACCTGATATTTACCAAAAATAAAAGAGGCTGGTCTCTGTGGTTGGTGGTGGCTGCACGCTTTCCATTGGTTCCGATGATTCACATATCAGCATCCATTGTGGTGATAGGTAATCTTGGGGAACGAAAGGGAGAGAAGAATACTTCCCCATGCAGTTAAGATGCGTGTACACATGTGGACAGTCACCTCGCGGTAGACAGCAGAGAGCATCTAGAATAAATTTAGATACTCTGGGAGTCTAGGTAGCTGCTGCACTAGGGACCAAATAAATGGAACTGGGAAGCTTTGAAATGGTTCAGTTTAATAAGTTGGATTGACTCGTCGACTACCTACCGAGGACTCAGGATGGGCATCTCGAGAGATTCAGGAGACGGATAATGCTGACAATTGATTGTGATTGGGAGGGGAAAGTTCTAGAGTCCGGATCATACCTGGTAGCCAGGGGCAAGTATGAAGAAAATCATGAGAAAGTTACCCGGATAGGATTTTCACCTTGCTGCTTTTGTCCTCCGATGGCCAGCTCCATGCCGTTTTTATGTTTTTATTAAATTCGTTCATTTATTACAGAGGAGGTCATCAACTAGTCTCGAGGGGCTCGTAGTGTAAATTCTATTCACCATTATCATTATCATTATCATTAAGTTATCGTGTTGAACACTTTGCTAATTCAGGGGCACGCAACAAGCTTGCGCATCAATTGACCCATACCTACCTCGAGCCATACCTACCGATACATCATGCTCCGTACAGTGGAAAGCTTCGCCCATTGCTAATCATCTACCTAACCTCGAGCTACTCGCACCATAGATAGATGGATATATATATATATATACATATAGGTTATTAAGGTCGATAAAATAAGTACCGCTATAGGAATACCTTTTCCAATTTTCCTTTCCTTTCCTTCTCAATTCAATTGGACTTAACCATTGACCTGATGCGTCTTTCTCTTCCCCAAGTCGATTCGTTGTCAAAAGCTTGTCTTCTCTTCAATCCACAGATGCTATCGATATCTTAATGCCTCATGGTATTATTCTATTGTATGTATGTCAATATTGCCATCGATTTCTAATTGCTTTTCAAAAGAAAGACCATGGATTATCATGGCACAGCATCATCGTCTCCTCTCGTGCCCCTGCTGCTTATTAGCCTGAACCAACAGGGACGGATCCATAATGGTTTCTTATCTGCATCAATCTATTTATTCCTACAGCGCTGCTGTTGAGAGCTTCACTTTTATTCCAGATCATCATATTTACATCTACGATTCTGCTCTTGTATCCTCATCGGATGGGCCATTAGGCCGTCGGTTAGGTGCCCGAATTCATACCACATACACGCATCGATATTATTGATAATCCGTTGATGTGATGAAGCCATTGACGACACTCAGTCATATCCCGGGTGGAACGAGATGATCCTCTTCCAAACGGTCCAGAGGAGATGAAAAGGGGGATAAAACGGCAACTGATCGGTGGTGAGTGGATGCGTCGAGTGGGTATGTGCCACAGTCAAGTTGGAACAAAGGCGGTGCATGCATGAATGATACTTTGCAAATCGACCAGGATATACGACCACTTTTATTCGGAAAGATCTCGAGCTATCGACAGGGAGTCGGAGTCGGAATCGATATTTACTCCCTTAAAAATTGTGTTATATAGGTAAAGTGCTGCTTCAAATGTTTGAAAGTTCAATAGCAGAGCAGTACTCTGGAGATTGTACCGGGTCTATTAATTTCCTCGAAAAGCAGCAGGTATTCCGTTGAATTACGTAGTGATGAAATCCATTATTGAAGGCTGAAGCGCGTCGACAACCCATCCACTCAGAAGTGAGAAGTGCTTGAAATTTCTTCTAGCCTGGACTACTAGGTACTCAACAACAAACTACCTACTCGGCCACTATTTATCGTTCATTCTCTGCTATGTTAGACTTCCGGGGTTCCGAAGGCTTCCCATCCGATCAACAATACAGGCGGGTTGTGAAAAACTAATCAGGCTAGGTTCTCTTGATTCGTGCCTCTTTTAGTCTCCTAAAATAGATCAAACTATGTTCCAGTTGGGTGGCGATTCCAGATTTCCAATAAGCTATCATTGGATACTGTAACAATAATGTCCGAAGCTTAACATTCGACAGGATAAATACGATATTGATTGGTAAGATTGAACTGATATCAGAGAATATTGATGGGAACTACTGCAGGGCCAAAACTAAGAGCAAATGTCCTTTCAAGAAGTCTACATAACCAACCATCTCCCCCATTTCCCATCCGAATCGAACATTTCTGCTCGTATTTGATCCAGAATGTCTTTGAAGCTGAAGGTGGTGGTGCACCAAGACGCGTTTTGAAGAGACAGCCGTTTAGATGACAAGTGGAAGTATCGTGGGGCTTTTGCTGCCAGTAGATACTGGGTACTCTGTACGATTTTCCATCGAAGTACCATCTCGGTGACAGCATGTGATGAAAGACTGTATATCGGTAATCGATTGACATGAAGATCCTCGAGGTCCTCGGGTAAGTTAAGTTTCGAACGTGATGCAGGAGTGTAACATTCGCCTTGCTGCACAACAACAATTGGAGGGGAGAAGTGACATGGCTCAAGATTCACTTGCGTTAATACGAGCTCACTACGACTTTGTCAAGGCGGCTGATTTGAGGGAATGGGAATGAGAGATAATCCTGTGTCAGCGTCTGAAAAGATGTTGTATTATGTACCTAGTATGCTCAGCCTACCAGTGATACCAAATTCAGACGGAAGCTGTTTGTCAAGTCAGGCCTTCCCGACCAATAGAGGATAGAATGCAAGAGACTGTATCGTATTCGAAATCTTGAGGTTTGATGGATATTTTATACTCGACTACCTATGTAGGTAGGTAGGGAGGTCTTGACAACAATCTTCTAAGAGGGAGGGAAAAGCGTATGAACATTCAAACAAAGCCGAAACAGATGTCTACTTTCAATTTCATTCAATTTGTGTGTCCTCTGGATACCATCATATATACCCTTTTGATGAGATGATTGATTTTCCACATCCGCACCATTCCAAAACTACATGTCTCGATTTCTCCCATCCGCACTTCTCAATTCGTACCAAACAGTCCGAGTTATCAGACCAATGATTACTCCTTAATTTACGAGTTGGGGCAGTGCGAGAGTGCTTCGAGAAGCATGCAAATTAGGATCAGCCAATATCCCAGACCAAACCATGGACGTGTTTAAGCTTTTACGGAGTCTGTTCAGATTATTTAAGAGGGCCCTACGATAGTAAGTGTCCAGAAAGAACGGCTGTAATCATCGAGATATGTGCTAGGTGGGTTTGTGAGCATTCCGTACAGCACAGTACCAGTCGGTAGCACACATTGTATACTGACCAAAGATGTTTGTGAAGTGGTTGTGAGCGAGGTGTAGGATGGATGAAGTTGATGTTGATGGATTTTAGTTATTTACCTACGATAGTAGTTATTCATTCATTCATCCATTCATCCATCCATCCATCCATCCATCTGCCATCCAGTCACGAGTGAACAATCCAACAACAGGGTCAACAACACCTACCTACCTAGCAGCCTACCTAGGTGCTTCAGAGGCATGTACTACGTATGAAACTTACGAATGGCCAAGAATTTAATCCAATGGAATCCATCCATTCATGTGATTGGCTCATTCCCCTCTGTCGGCACGCTCCTTCCCATGCTTCTCCTTCCCACAAGTAGATTCAAGGTGGAAAAAAGTTTCCTGAATTTCCCAGGTAGGCAATCGGGATAAAAGAGGATTGGGACCAAGTTCCAACAGACCCAATCTAATCTCTATCTAGTCCAGGAACATTTCTTTCTTTAGCACGACTCTCTCTACCAAAGTACCAAAGTGCTTTCGTAAATTCGTACCCATCTCCACTCCGAATTTATACCATTGAATCATTCTCCCGTATCCCCTAAATTATTCTTCCAATCCAAATCTCCTTGCCACACTTAATGGCACCGTGTTAATCATTCCACTTCCACACTCCTCGACATTCATTTGCTATCTTTCCATTTCTCCAGCAATCCCATCTCCAACTCACTCTAGTTAGGAAGACAGTCATTCGTTCAAACACACATTTCTTTTTTCTTTTTAACTAGGACATCTGCCGTGCAAGTCGTTGTTAGAGAAGGAGAGATTACATCACCAACACACTCGTTCTTCCCTATTCCAAAACTCACCTGAGACGGAAATATCTTTAGCAAGCAATCGGGTTGGGATTGGACTCTTGAGTTTTCATCTCATCATCACAAAACAACTTCTCACATCTATCTATCGTCAACAAAATCAACATTATAACACTCCCACATTGGTATTTCAATTAGCATCATGAAGACCTTTGGCTTTGCTTCAGCAGCTGCTGCGGCATTGACCGGTGCTTTTTTCGCATCGTCTGCTGCCGCGGCTGATCTCCCTCCTATCGTCATTAAGGTATGTCATGGATCGGTCCATCCGACGTTGTTGGAAGGCACTTTAAATGCTGATTCATATATCAGGGCTCCCACTTCTTCTACGAGAACGGTACCGAATTCTTCATTCGTGGTGTAGCATACCAACAAGACGTTAACGCCAACACTACTTCCGACGCTACTTTTACCGATCCCCTTGCAGATGAAGCTGGTTGCAGGCGTGACATTCCTCTCCTTCAAGAGCTTGGCACCAATGTCATCCGTGTCTACGCTATCAACTCCTCGTTAGACCACTCCGTCTGTATGGGATTGCTCAACGATGCCGGAATCTATGTTATCCAAGATTTGTCTAACCCCTCATCCTCTATCAATCGAAACGACCCAGAATGGAACACCGATCTCTTCGCTACCTATGCCGGCGTTGTCGAGTATGTATATCTTGTACTTGTTACCCATCGTCACCTCCATCTTTCTGGCCTTTCACTTGCATTATGAAGGAAGGGGGAGGGTTATCAATTCATCGTATTCTTTGTGTGCTAACATTCCAATTTTAGTGCCATGGCCAACTACTCAAACGTCCTCGGTTTCTTTGCCGGTAACGAGGTTTCCAACGATGTCAACAACACTGATGCCAGTGCTTTCGTGAAAGCTGCCGTCCGTGACATGAAGGCTTACATTAAGACTAAGGGCTACCGCACTATCGGTGTTGGTTATGCTACCAACGATGATGCCAACATTCGAATTGATTTGGCTCATTATTTCAACTGTGGTGATGCTGATTCTGCCATCGATTTCTGGGGTTACAACATCTACTCGTGGTGTGGTGATTCTTCGTTCACTAAGTCTGGATATGATCAAAGAACTCTCGAATTTGCCAATTACTCCGTCCCTGCATTCTTTGCCGAGTACGGTTGCAACGTTGTCCAACCACGTCAATTCACTGAAGTCGGGGCAATTTACGGCGACAAGATGACTGAAGTCTGGTCTGGTGGAATCGTCTACATGTACTTCCAAGAGGCAAATGACTATGGTAAGATATGACTTGCAAGCTTTTTCGAAGCACAAGCTGACAAAACTTTAGGTCTCGTCTCGGTTTCAGGAGACTCTGTTAGCAAGCTCGCTGATTTCACTGCTCTGTCCAAGCAATTGGCCTCTGCCACCCCTAGCTCCACCAACTCTGCTTCCTACACCGTTACCAACACAGTAGCACAAGCATGCCCAGCAACCGGTACCGCTTGGGCTGCCTCCAGCAACCTTCCTCCTATCGCAAACGCCGAGCTTTGCGAATGTATGGTTAAGTCTTTGTCCTGTGTCGCCAACAGCGGTATCTCCGGTAACTCCAGTGCCGATCTCTTCAACTATGTCTGCGGTTTGGATAGCGCTGCCTGTGATGGTATCTCAAAGAATGCTACCACTGGAACTTACGGTGCCTACTCCATGTGCACAAGCGCTCAACAATTGTCTTTCGTATTTGACCAATACTACCAAAACAACGGCAAAGCAGCTACTGCCTGTGACTTCAGCGGCAATGCTAAGACTCAAACTGGTGCCAAGAGCTCAACCTGCTCAAGTCTCATCAGCCAAGCCGGAACCGCAGGAACTGGAACTGTTACCAGCGCACCAACTGGTACTGGATCTTCAAGCAGCTCATCTAGTTCATCCACCACTACTAAGAAGAGTGCTGCCGGTGCTACTGTCGTCCCACGTTTCGACTTGGGATTGTTGCAATTGGGTGCCTATGTCGTGGTTGCTGGAATGGCAGGTGCGGGTATGATCATGTTGTAGATGATATCATTAGCATTTTTCGGCGGTGGATATCTGGCTGTCTGGATGAAGGTCTCTTCATTCGAAAATTGATCGGGTATTAATATGTCATTCATTCCTTGATAGTCATATCATGTTGCCTAGGCGTCATTTGGTTCCTCTTCTCTTGGCACCTCACGGCGTCAATTGGAGATTTTAATTTGTATATTAAATGATAGACTGAAGAGATATTTAAGATTGTGAGGAAAGCAACTTGCTATTGTGAATTTGAGATGACATGCGATTTCTCAAATTGTGCTCACCACGAAATATGTACAAGCCTCTATTCAAGGCGATTTTAGATGCCCTTGATGTTGAAATTTGCACACAAAGGCCTCAATGTCTAGGCATGTATCCACATAATCAAAGTTATCTAAGCGAAAAGCACATCATCACTGGCTAGCTTACGACTCCGATGACAAGCGCGAATTGGTGTGTTTTTCTTTGTAGATAACAGATGACTTCAAAAGGCCAACGATTCTTTTGAAATTTTACTTGCTTTCCAATCCGATTTATGATTTAGATCTCTGACTGGACTTCATCCTCTCTATCCGATCGTCAACTTCCAAATTGATTTAATTATCAATTGGAGAAGCAGAAGTTGAAAAAGTGTCAGGGAACGTGCCTGACATTGCGGGGAAAGGAACAGATTAAACAAAATGGCGGACGTAGCAGCGGAACTGGAAGAGGGGGGCTTCAAGAGAACCTTGAAGGACTTGTTTGCCGGGGCTGCTGGGGGTGTAGCTCAGGTTCTATTGGGTAAGTGAGATGTTGTTTTCATACTGGGGTGTAGTTTTTGGGGGATGTTTTTGGGTTGGTTGGGATAATCACGTGGAGGTAACGAGATATGTTGAGAAGTGGAATTGTCTTCGAGTGATGGCAATGGTTTGTGGATTTGCACATGCCCTTTGGCGAATATTCCATAGTTTTAAAAGTCAAGTCTGGATCTGCTTTCATACTTGTTCACAAAATGAAAACACCATAACGAGCACTTCACAAGAAGATGATCTAACCTCTTCCCCAGGTCAACCCTTTGATATAGTCAAAGTTCGTCTCCAAACCACTACACAGTATGCAAATGCTCTTGAAGCCGCTCAAACCATCTACCGCAATGAAGGTGCTCTCGCCTTCTACAAAGGTACTCTCACGCCTTTGATCGGTATTGGAGCCTGTGTTTCCGTCCAATTTGGAGCTTTCCACCAAGCTCGTCGTTACCTGGAAAACTACAACACTTCCCGCAATCCTCTTTCCCCAGGTCTTTCCTATGCACAATACTATGCGGCGGGTGCCTTTGCCGGTATCGCCAACTCTGGTATCTCGGGTCCCATTGAGCACGTAAGGATTAGATTACAAACGCAGCCTCACGGTGCAGGAAAACTCTACAATGGTCCCGTGGATTGTGTTCGCAAATTGTCAGCTCATGAAGGCGTTCTCAAGGGTCTCTATCGCGGTGAGGCCGTTACCATTATTCGAGAAGCGCAGGCTTATGGTGTGTGGTTCCTTTCTTTCGAATACATGATGAATAGCGACGCAGCCCGCAACAAAATCGAACGCAAAGATATTCCGAGCTGGAAAATTGCTTTCTACGGTGGTCTAGCCGGAGAAGCTTTATGGTTGGCTAGTTATCCGTTTGATGTTGTGAAGAGCAAAATGCAGAGTGATGGGTTCGGTAAGGAGATGAAGTACAATGGTATGAGAGACTGTTTTGCAAAGACGTGGAGAGCAGAAGGCGCAAGAGGATTCTGGAAAGGCATTTTCCCTACGTTGTTGAGGGCCATGCCGGTTAGTGCGGGTACTTTTGCCGTGGTGGAAATGACCATGAGAGCTATTTCTTAGATGGCTGAAGGAATGAGAATAGTTGGTGCATTTAGTAGCCTGATGATTACATGAGATGATGAGAGCCATGCTGCATGTCCATTTATATGAGCTATCTTCGGAGAGTGAGAGCGATCATGGTATGGTATGGTATGGCATAGCATAGCATTAGCATTATAGCGGTGAATGAGATATAGACATCTACGTAAAGATTCCTTGTATACCAGAATTCGCCAATGTCTCCAAGTACCTGTCTTCTTCCAGCTCAAGTACGTAAATGATGAGCCAGAGACAGCACGTTGCTCGAGGAAACCCCCCTCCCCCCCCAAAAAAAATATAATAAATTCTTACGTATTACCTCCAAGACTCTCAGATTTTACACAGTCAAATTCCGAACGTGGTAGAACTATCCATTCATTCGACTCCATGCTCTCGTTCTTTGTCCTTTGATTCCCGAGGTCTCTTTTTTCCCTGAATCAACTATGCCCTGGATTTATTAGTGAGTCTTGTCTTGTCCTGCCTCTTCTCAGACTTGGGCATATCTTGAAGTTGGGGGTGGGAGAGATATTTCCGAAGGTGGAATGGCTACAAAGCAAAGTGAGTGATAAGTATGTTTTGATGGATGGTTCATTTTTATTTTTATCAACGTTTATAGTTTATATCACTGCTGTGTTACAGGGGTAAGGAAGGGGATGCTGTATAAAATTTGATTATGTGAAGGGTACGAGTAGTGAGGTTGTAATAGTTATTGGCATGAGCTTTGCGTGGCAAGAGCCGGATTGGGTATAGAATAGATAGGTAGGTAGGTTATGTGTCTACCATGTCTTCTATCTTCAAATCTATCGTGTTTCTAACCTTTGTAAATATTCCACCCATCAAGATCTCGCTAGAGTTATTCAGATCCCCCTTCCCCCCCTCCCCCCCCCCTTTGGTGTGGAAATTTAGTTGTTGAGTTGCTCGCCGGTTGACTCTGCAGTAGCCGATATTTATGAGTTGTACGAGCTCAGTAAATCCATCCGTGTATTTAATTCATCGTTTGCTCTCATCAAACCCGACCTTTTCGTAATCATAATCATAACTAAAACTACAAATTCAAGTATCAACCTCGGCCATGTTGTAATGACCCAACTGCTGCGCATGAGCTGCCGCTTGTGTCTCCCCATGAATAATCACGCCACAATCTTTACACTTGATAGCCATACCTCCTGTATCAGTATAATAATGCTTCTCTCTCAATTTTGAGCATAGTTCTACTGCTTTAGCAATTATGGTATCGTCGGACTTATCGAAAACTCGAACGTCGTTTTCGGGAGTTGAGGAGAAGGGAGAAAGGGCTAGCATGTCATAATGGATTCCAGAATAGACCAGAACACATCTATTGTTGGAGCCAGATTCGTGGAATTTGTGGATGGAGAGGGACTGGGTATTGTTAGTTTGTGGGAAAATTATTGAGGGTCATAATGGATTGGGTTTCTCGTGGGGAATGGGAATGTCAACTATTATTGAAAAGGGGATGACATACTTGAACATCGACACAAACGACTTCTATACCAAAGGCCTCGGCCAAAATACCCATCTCGATAGCTCCACCCCAAGCATCAGAGGTTTGAATCCAGCGACAGTAGTCATCGGGCTCTTGTTCTAATACGACTTTACTATAAAGTTCGGGGTTGCCTTGAATGGTAGAAGCTACGACGGATCGAAGCTCATGCATGGAAAGGTCATCACCAGGAAGAACTGCCGTTCCAAAAGCTCGGAAAAGACATGAGTTATCGTCTGGCATGACACGGAGAACTGGAAGACGTTAGTGAAGTGAATAATAATCTCGGATGAAAGACTTACCAAGTGTAGCTTGAAGTTCTGGAATTGGAATTTCAGGTACATCTTCAGCGATACCTCTCTTACGCGAAAGTGACACCGGAGCTGCAGAATTCGATGTGTTTTTCGCATCACCATGCATACCAGAGAAAGAAAATGACTTCGCCTCTGCTGTTTGTCTATCTTTTACTTGAGGGGCGATAGATGAGGTTTTAGAATTAGAAGGTGAAGTCAATTTTGGTGATCCCACAGATTTACGTTCTTCTCTTGAGCTAATCGTAAGTTGTTCGCCATTTAACTTGATGTCCAACTTGCTCAGAGGTAATGAAGGCTCGCTTTGAGAAAGGAGAAGCGGTTTTGGCGGATAACCATATTTAATATCGAAATTTGTGAGAGATGTCTTTGAGGTAATTTCGGATATGAGATCACTGATTTTGGCATCGTCAGGAAGAGTTATGGTGGATGTCCCTTCGGGTCCTCGAACTCGCATTCGCGGCATCTTTGATATCTGGGTTGGTGTTGGCACGTGGGTGTCGTCGAAAGCGATTCGGTCGGTACGTGGTTTATATGGACAATACTACCTTGAAATATGTATGAAAGATAACAAATTTAATATCGTCGTAAATCCGTGAATCTTATAAATTAATTAATATTTATCGCCTAGAATCGTTTAGAACCGTATTTAGTTTGGAGAAGAATGTTGTGGCAAAATAAGTGAATGATGTCCACCCCTTCCAGCTGTTCGCTGTTCACTTCGGCTTGAATATCCCACGAGTCACGTGGCCACATCCTTTGCCCGACCAGTTTCCGTTGCTTGTGGGGATCGCGCTCCAACGCGATTACTCGAGCTCCCTCAAAAAGCGATCAAATCCTTAGCAACACAACCCCGCGATATAGTTGCTAGATTCAATAAAAAAGATGGATTCGCCTGTACCGGCCCCGATTCCAGATGAATCAAGCGTCAAGACAGAAGAACCTAAGACTTCCAATGATGTTGAAATGACCGATGCGCCAGAAGCAGAGCCTGAACCCGAACCCCAACCCCAACCCGAACCAGAACCAGAAGTAGAAGCAGTAGCTGCAAAGCCAGAGATAAAAACAACGGGAAATGCGCCAGAACCTGTAGGTTCCCTTGCGACGGTCGACGGTGTTACGAAGGATGGATATATTGTTATGAATGAAGTTGTACACAAATTAACGGAATATCGCACGGAAGAGTATGTCCATTGTGGTTTGCGCATTTGTTTTTCTAGGGATGCTAACATGAATCTAGCGGTTACGATATCTCACAGCTTTTTCAGCGCATGCTCAACAAGAGGTTTCTACCAGATTACTTTGAGGTGATTAAGGAACCTACCGCATTCAGCACCGTTAGAGTATGTCATTTCTACCTTTCAGATGCGCGCGAGTGCATTTAACTGACACACTGATAGCAAAAAATCCTCAAGAAGCAGTACAAGAGCTTTAAAGAATTCGTCCGCGACTTTGCCCTCATATCTCATAATGCACAAGTTTACAACCGTCCGTCTGCAGCTGCATATCATGACGCCATTGCGCTCAGAGAGTTATTCAAAAAGGAAATGCAACAATTGGTAGATGGAAAGGTTATTACCGCGGAGGAAGCAGAGATGCCGTATCTAGGAGAGCTCCCACCCGTCGAAGATTCACCACCACCTGGCCCTGAAGACGAAGAACAGGAGGAAGACGATGAAGACGACGAAGAGGATGACGAAGAAGACGATACCGATGATGAGGGTGTGAAGCGAAAATACAAACGCAAAATTCGACGTTCGAGCGTGAGCAGGCGCGATGGTGGTGCCGATGAAGCAACAAAGGAGCCCGAAGTACAGAAAAAGCGCGGTAGACCACCTAAGGTGCATACCCCCATGGAAGCCCGCATAAACAATATTCTGAAGGGATTGAGAAAATTCAAAAATCCTAGGGGAGAGCTTAAAATTGCACCATTCGAAAGATTGCCCGATAAAACAAACATGCCAGAATATTACCAGGAAGTCAAGACCCCTATGGCAATGGATCTGATTAAGAGGCAGGCAAAGCGCAAGAAGTACGAAACTGTGGGCGAGGTTCTGAAGGATATAGAGCTCATGTTTGAGAATGCCAAGGCATTCAATGAGGAGGATAGTGAAGTTTATACCGATGCAGTGTTCCTTCAGAATGAAGCTAGAGCCCTAGCTGAACAAGAGAAGAACAGACCAGATGAAGACTTTGCTTCTGAGGATGGAAGAATACCTCTCAAAGAAATCCTTTACAAAGGCGAAATGTGGAAGGTTGGAGACTGGATTCACATAACCAACCTTAACGATGTTACAAAGCCAGTAGTTGGGCAGATCTATCGAACCTGGCGGGATATCGCAGGACAGGACTGGATCAATGCTTGTTGGTACTTACGACCAGAGCAAACAGTTCATCGCTATGATAAACATTTCTACGAAAATGAGGTTGTTAAGACTGGTCGCTATATCGATCATAAGATTGATGATGTTGTTGACCGTTGCTTTGTCATGTTCTTCACAAGATATTTCAAAGGACGTCCCCGTAACTTTCCTGCGGATAAGGAGATCTATGTTTGCGAGGCACGTTACAATGAAACTGTATTCAAGCTCAACAAAATCAAGACCTGGGCCAGCTGTGTCCCAGATGAAGTGAGGGAGAAAGATTATGAAATGGATCTCTTTGACACTCCAAGGCCAATGAAGAAGTTTCCGAGCCCGATCAAACATCTGCTCCGCGATGATGCTACAGAACATGACGAGACTCCAAAACCCACTAAGGGCGTAGATGGGGCACCTCCTATCGTCGGAGCTGTGCATAAGCTACCTCGTGCCGAAAATGTAAGTTCTATCTCATGAGATGTGTCAATCTATATATTCTAACACTATAAAGGACTCTCCACCACCATCGCCCACTCCACCCGCCGCATCTCCTTTACCAAATACAGAGCGCAGTCGTCCACCTCCCACAAGCGAAAGACCTCGATTTGACTCACAGGGAGATATATCAATGGGTGGAACAACTCCAAGCGCTACTGCCTCGCCAATGATCAATCAGCATTCAGCTCAACCGGCATATACGCAATCATTTGCACAAGCTCGGCCATCTGCATCTCCAGCGCCTCCTCAGCACGCTCATTCATATAGCTCGCACGGAGCCACGCAAGCCGTACCACCAACTCCGACATACCAGCCAACAACTTCATACAACCATCATACTTCCTCCACTCCCACCACCGCCACCCATCACCACTCCAACCCACTAGCCAACTACCAAAGTTATCATAGCAGCAGTACACCACGTGTTGGTGGCTCTGGTTCAAATACACATAATTCTCACGGGAACGCATATAATCCACCACGTGCAATTGAAGTATACACGCTTCCAGATGCAGCAAATTCTGCCATTCCACCCGACGTTCGATCACAATTTCACACGGACGAATTCGGCAGGGTCATTTTCTATACTTCTCCTCCGCTTGAATCCAACCCAATTCCGGAAGAATCACAAGTTTTGGGTCATAGTTTGAAGTATTTAGCCAACAAAGTACGACGTAAGGAGGAGCTTGAGAAGAAACGCAAAATCCGTGAAATCGAGTTGGAAATCGAAGCTAGTGAAAGATCAAAGCGTGCGAAAGCTGAGGCAGAGGCTAGAAAACAAGCTATACTTGACACTCAAGTTAAGTATATTAAAGCCTGGACAGAGGACTTGCAAAAGGGTACAGAGGCACTTTATAAACAGTTAAATGGTGCGTAGTAAGAGAAATTCGGGAAACAAGAAACATGAAGCATAAACCCTTGAAATTGGGAGAACGAAGGCACTATGATAAAGAGTGGCGTTTGTGACATCAGGGTGTACGAACAGATTAAATCTATTTGGGTTTGACTGGCGTATTTTGGCGTGGAAGAAATTGATCGCGAGGAATTCAAATCCTCAAATTGTACATACTCAAGAGGAACTTGATAGACAGTCTTGGAGCCGGGTAAAAGCCGTTGGGTTATCACTTACAAACAAATAATATATCCTTCTTATGAGTTTTATACGATCTATCTTGATTTTATCGGCGAGTGCTTCATGTAGGTATAGGTACCTAGTAGGTATTAGAACATCGCATCTGGGTACAAGACTTTTTGTCATGATTTGCATTTGGCCTACAATTGGATGATTGTGTATCTCCTTCTCACGAAATTGACGGCGATTGATGTAGAAATATTTCAAGAAAACAGATTGAGAATTTGATACATGATATGCACGAAATTCAAGGGACTATCTAAACCTTAAGATCTACCAGTGCGTAAGGAGACCGCAAAAAGCTGATAGTATCCGAAAGACTCGGTGAGAATAATCGCGGTTCACGAGGGAACAACATCCTGCTGTCCTACTAATCTACTCCCGATGGAGCGGATATCCATCTTCTGCTGTTTTTCTTTCTTTGAGGAACAACAGAAGGTTATGTAGGGAGGAGTCAGAGATATGTGGACTTTGAGATACGTTACATATTGACAAGTCATACTGATGAGTGATGAGTGTGATATGCTTGGCAAGGAGTGTACGGAGAACATTGTTCTTTGGTGAAAAGATACATATGTGCTTTTGAGATATGGGGAAATATGAAAGGCAAAAGATATGGGATTGTAATGATGATGAGTGATCAAGAATGTCATTTTATGAAGTCCAAAAACTGCTCTGCGGCCTGGATGAAATATAAGATAACTTGGAGGTTGGTATCAATTTAAAATCCTATGCTAAACATCAAGAAGCAATAACAGCCGTTCAACCTCACCTCTTAATACTCCTCTCCCCCTCTGATCATTCTCAACAACGCGGCCCGTGTAGTCTCCTCGTCAAAAACCCTCTCTAACAAAACATTCAATTCTTGCTCGGCTTTCAACACCTGATCTGTCTTCCTAGGATCCTTCTCCAACAACCTCGCTTGCCAGTGCTTGGTGAAAGCCGTAATCTGTTGTACCAAGACCTTTTCTAATTCCTTCCTAGCATCTAGTACTTTATCAACCACAGCAGGAAGTAGTTGACCTTTGATTATCGGTCTGATATATGCAAGGGGATTAAACACTTGGTGACGGGATTGAAGTTCCTTGAGCGTCTCCCAAAGAGGAGTGAAGTCAAGTTCGGCGGATTGACGGATTGAGTCTGGGATTTCGTGAGTCATGAATAGGTTCTCGATGAGCATCAGATTTTTGATGAGGAATAGCTGTGCATCCATTATGTTATTCGAACTTCGCTTTATGATTGTTGCGGCTCTCTGTAGAGATTCGGTAGTTTGATGCACAATTTCGTAAAGAACATCACCTTTCTTGAGCTGCATACGAATGTTAGTGCAGTCACGTTTATATCTAAAAGCGGTGGACTTACTGTTCTCTCATGCATGCTTTCGTTGTATAAAACGAGTAAACTAACCGCCGTCTTGACTGTCGGAAAGGCATTCGAAACACCAGCTTCAACAGATGTGCTTTCTTCAAGAGGCTTAAGGGCCGTATCAACTCGCAAGCCACTAGTTGGAATGGCTTTCTCATTGGATAATTTCGGAGCAATTTTTGGCGATATGATCCTGAGATCTTCCGAAGATGGTTTGAAGAGCTCAAGTTTTTTTGCTTCCATGATGAAAAGCTGATCAGCTAATGGCCAGAGATGAACGCCCAACAAGACCTGTGCAGCCAATCTTT